CACTTTTATATTGGTGACAAGGTTACTTACTTAGCAGGCATGCCAGTGCCGCTGAAGTACAACTTGCTTTCTTTCATCTACTAAAATTACAGTGTCTTAACTGCTCTTCCATACAGCACTGTTAATGATCTCCTCAAGGGGATGTTTTATAGCATGGACTTTTTTTTTTTTCTATAATTAAGCTGTTTACTTTCTGTTATTCTGCCCATAAATCTGTAATTTTAATACTAATCAGAATCTGACAAAAATTTAGATTGTAAAGGATTTCTAAAATCACCTAATTCAACCGTATGCTTAGAGCAAGACTAAGAAGAAATCAGAACAGTTTGCTGAGCCTTGTGCCATCAGGTCTTGAAGACCTGCTGGTTACAGCCTTACTAATGCAGCTCTGTATTTAGTTTGCCTTCATTACTGCCATGGTGAACATCCAACTTATATTTAGACTGCTGACAATCAGGACCTCTGGTTACTTCTTTTCCGGTTTACTACCTAGACAGTCAGTACCCATCTTACACTGCTGCCTGGGACTATTCTGTCATTTCTGTTCAACTTCTGTGGCTCCCATTATCAGTTGCTTGTCTTGGTATCTCTGAATGGCAGTCCTGCCCTGCAATACATCAAGCATTATCTAAATTATTGTCATCCACAATTCTACTACCCATGTATTCAGTCCTGTTGTCCAAGTTGTTAAGATGTCAACACTATTATCCCAAAGTATCAATCCCAGAGGAAGACTAGACTTTGATGAACTGCTGACTACCCCTTTTTTTTTTTTTTTTCCACTCACTGGAAGCTCCAGGTTTTCTAACTCATATTACTACATATAGTGTCATGGTTTAATCCCAGCTGGCAACTAAGCACCACGTAACTGCTTCCTCACTCCTCCCCTCTCCCACTGAGATGGGGAGAATCAGAAAAACAAAATAAAACTCATGGGTTGAGATAACAACAGCTTAAAAACTAAAATATAATATAATAATCATAATGGTAGTAATAGTAGAAAGAGCAATAAAGGCCCATAAAGTACAAGTGATGCACAATGCAACCGCTCACCCCTTGCTGTCTGATGCCCAAGCAGCGATCTGCACCCCCCAGCCAACTCCCCCTACTTTATATAGCAGGCATGATGTCCTATGGTATGGAACATCCCTTTGGCTAGTTTGGGTCAGATGTCATGGCCATGACTCCTGCCAGCCTCTTGTGCACCTGCTCTTTGGCAGGGCATGGGAAACTGAAAAATCCTTAACTTGGAATAAGCACTACTTAGCAAAAAATGAAATATCAGTGTGTTATCAACATCATTCTCACACTAATTCCAAAGCTCAGCACTGTACCACCTACTAGGAAGACAATTAACTGGCTATCCCAGCCAATCCCAGGTCAATGGCATAATACAATATAGTGTCACAAAAGGAAAAGATGGGAAGGAAGATAAACAATTTGGCAGCTGTCAGAGGGACAGAACTGAGGTCACAAGGAAAAGCTAGCAAGTTCAACAGACATAATCAATTCATAGATGCATGTATGTTGGTATGTGTGTAAAATACATTATGTCACCACCAAAAATTATTGTAGGATATGACAGTATAATAGATTATACTGTGGCAGTTCTTTTGTTCATTTCCAGATAGAAAAACATTAAGAAATTTAGCCAAAGCAAATAAACTGTAAGAACAAATAGACTTTCAAGTTACATTAACGTACTAGAAGATTATCTAGTGCAAACACTGTCAATTTCCACAAATTCTTAGATAAGTGTTTGTGTGTGGTTAGTGTTTCTACTATACTTGGCTTTTTTTTAAAAAAATATTTTTTTAATGAACTATGCTCAAAGTTCATAAATGCTCAAAGAAATTCCTCACAAAGTAAATAATCATTAATAAACTCTCAGTATACATTTCTCACACCAAACACAGCTTTCCAGTGCATCTTCACATTAAGTCCCGGATTTACAACTGTGCTGTTAGCTTTTGTGAAGATGGTAAGTAAACTGTTTCTATACAAGCTACCAATTACTGCTTAGTCTTGACAATTCCTCTAGCCCACTGGTAAAACAGAATTAAAACATTAATTATAAGAAAGTCAGTCATACTGTATCTTACAACAGATTATGTCTACTTCTTACAAGTAGAAACACTGAAGTTATTTTTAAAGAACGTTAATCTCCAAAGAGAAAGAATGTTGACCTCAAGAAGAATGTTTGATTTTGCTGTAAATACTTGGAAAATCCTAATTTCATTCTGTCACTCTTTGATGTTTATTAGACTGAGATCAGGACATTTTCATGGTAAATTTCAAATATTTTACTTTTTGTCCTCATAACACTGTTGGCAGGGTCCTGCAAGGTCCCTACAGTATTAAAGTGATGCTCTGCCGAGTGACTGTTTGAGTCTGAAGTGTGAATTTCATACTTTGCATGAACTACCTACACCTTTCCACTGCCAGCTCTGCTCTTACATGCCAGTGCGCATCAAACCTAACTTGCAACACCCTGAGTATTACAGTCCTTGTTCTATTCTGAACTGAGCAAAACCACTGTGCTAAATAAAATAAATTATTATTCCCCTATGTCCACAAAACTTCATACACAACAAAGTAATAACTGTTTTAAGGTCATTATGCTTCTGTTCCTCAAAAAAACTGATCAACATTTCTACACCAAAAATTTATTGTAATTTCAAGTAATTTTTTTGTTGACTATGAAGATTAAAGCCACATTTGTCCCATCCTTACTCATTCTGGAAAATATATTTTGTTCCTAAAACATACTTGGAGTGCTTTACTGCCACTAGTGACCTGAACAGCTTAATACCTGCCCATACATAGTCTGAGGAAGCTGAAAACCCACCTAAAGAAGATTTTAATTTTGGAAAATTAATATTTAGAGAAGATAGACGATACGTATCTTCCATTAATAAACTTTCAAATGCAAATACATTGTTTATGCACTTTTGTATTCCTCTACAATGTATTCTTATGAAAAAGCTTTATAGGTTGTATCTTCTATATGTTATTTTAGAAAGAAAAGAATTAAAACACATTTATTGAAATAAATCTAAAAAATATTCTTTTGATATTTACTGGATCAAGCTCTGCAGAATATAAATATGTTACCAAAATGTCAAAGATTCTTAGCAAGATAACACCAGGACAATATTAAATATTGGTACCCAGATGAAAGATAGTGGTGGTAGTAGTAAGGCAAAACCCAGCAAAGGAAAATGAAAATTACTGCTGGTATTGATATTACCAATTCCCCATACAGGTGTTTGTGGACTAGAGACAGAACTTAGCCATAAAGGATCACAAGTGTGTAATCCTGTAGCAGAGGTGCATCGTTTCATTCCTGTTTCTTTACTTCTGTGGTCATTGGATTTTTGAAGTAAAGATACCTGTTTTCAGCCTTAAGGGAAAATATTTGACTAAAATATTCCCTTAGGGAAAAAAAAAAATAAACAAACCAACAAAACCAAACCACAAACAAATACCGCACCCCCCAAAAAAACCCAAAACAACCAACCACCCCCCAAAAAAAAAACCCAAAACCAAACACACACCAGAAACAACAAAAAAACCCAACACAAAACAAACAAACAAAAATAACCACAAAAAAAAAGTGGAAAGTTTTCCTCCATGTTTAAACTAAATGTGAATATCATTACTGGTTACACTGTACTTGAAGAGAAATGAGCCTCTCCTTGGTGATGCTGACTGTCCCATGCCACCAGAGATCCAAAAGAATGGCAGAGCCTGCTTATATTCCATTTGTAGCATGGGAGTGTTCACTGGGTTACTAAAGCAATTTTCAGTTCGCAATCTTTTCTCAATTCAGTCTATGCCAGCTCTAGGACAGTAATGCAGATTAGCTGCAATGATGTATCAGAAAAGTTTCTCCAAATGAAAAGCTGAAAAGCTTTTTAAATTTTATCTTTGAGAAATATGCACGATGTAGTAGAATTATGACTGTCAAGGTATAAGAATGATTGGAGGAAAGTTTAATAAGCCAACTTGCTGCTTGTTTAAAACAGATAGGCACAGATGATAAAAACCCTCCCTGCTATGACCACCAGATTCATACAGTAGTTATCTACCAACACTCACTCCTAAACAAACTCTGTGTAAGCTTCTGAAGCATAATAATATTCCTGATATTTTCTGTAAAATGGTACAAAGACAAAAAGTACAATTCCATGGCCATTGTATCATGAGTTTGCAGACTCAGAAATTTCATTAAAGAGATGCCATAACATGCTGCTGAAATCAGTTTGCACAACACAATACTTTGGACTGGACAACGTACTACACAAGAGGAACGAATATTTGTGACAAGGGGCCGTATACATTTTTTTGCAACAGAAAAGGTGAGATACTTCATCAATTGTCAGAATAGTATTACCTGGGAAAGAGGTACCAGATTAGGAAAAAAGCTTTTTATGAAACTTTTGGTCCACTCTCCCATAACACTTTATTACCTCCTTTTCATACTTTGAAATAGTATATGACATTATATTCAGTTTGATATTAATTGGAAAAAACCAACAGTTCTTCAACCTTGCTGTACTTTTAAATAGTTAAGCAGTATCAAGAGCCTCAAGAGGTATTTCATTAAATAAGCAATTTAAGATGGATTTACCTGTAAAAAAGTTTCAACTTGCTTGCTTTAAACAAATTTCAAATATCCTCAGATGTTCCTGAATTGTGTTTATACTCCAGGCAGATTAAAACAGCGTATGTGTGACATAAATATTTGGTCTAATTATAACATACAATAAAAGCAGCCTGTTCTTGAGATTCTCTGCAAAGAAGAATCCAACCTGTCTCATGATCACAATATGAAAGACTGATGAGGGTTAAGAGTTTTTTTTTGTCCTGAAGTTTTACAAACTTAAATTCAAAAATTTTTGTTTTTGTTTTTTTTTTTATACATTTTCTTTTGCACATTCAAATGGGAGGGAAGGAGACTTTACAGCCATATGCATTTCAGTAAACTGACATAGACTTCACATGAAGTAACAAAGATTCCCTACCTTGATGGACTGACTGTAAGGTCCTATGCTAGCAGGTGCCCAGTGGGAAATGCTCTGTACATGCATCACCAGTTTTTCATCATGTAACACATCATCCGTTGCAATGCCACGCTGATGTGCGAGGCAGTCAATGCAAAACAGCACTCCATCAGGTAACAGGGTTTCCACACATACTCTGAAAACACAAGACATTTTTTGCAAACAGAAAATTAGTTTGCACAAACTTTCTCGGTTTTTTTTTTCCCCATAGGTTTTTCCTTTGAATACTATAAAAGTTTGTCAGGAACGTAAACCAAAATCTATGGTATCACAGTCAGCTGCTACCACTGACACTGTTAGCTCTTTTCCAGATAATGGTCAACTTCAGACTTCCAGAAAGACAATTTCCATTACCAAGGAGCACCATAGCCAGTGGTTTATTTGCATTTGGTTATTTTTATGATGTTCACTGCATTATTAAGAATATATGAGTACTTTTATTAAAAAAACCTTGATTACACAACTCAGGAAATGCCAGGTAAGTTGCTAAACAGCCTTCAGACTAAAGTGAATCACTGTCATATTCTTACCTCCACATATTTTATGCCAAATCTCCTGCGAGTGGTTGGACTAGGGGTTCAAGTTTCTAAAAAGCAGCAGTTTATTGGTCCTTTACACTCCTTTCACATGTTATCATGCAATACTGAGCATATTTTTCTGTTATATTTCAAGTTGCATGACACACACTTATGAGAGGACTGAAAACCTACTTAAGCATTCATTAAAAAAATCACTTTTGTTTGCTTCAAAGAAGACTGAGTGCCTGGACAGATAGACAGACAGACTGTCCATTGCACGTGGCCAGTGAAAAAACAGGGTGTGAGAGGGGCAAAAAATCAATATTTTAAAGCCTGCAAAATAATTATATTTGTAGTTCATGCATAAAAAAAATCATTTATCTCCCAGCAGGAAAAAAAGGAATCCAACAAAAAATTACTTGTTTTCTTCACACATCATATAACATACCCTTACAAAATTCTTCTCATCTTGCTTATTTCTTCCAATAAAATTATCTTCTTCCTCTCGTCCCACATGTAAATACAGTATTTTTTCCCTCATTACCATCATCATAAGCATGGATGAATGGATTTTCTGCTTGGGTTGGTAAATTTTCAAGACAATTTTGCAAATTTAGTGCAGATCCACACACCTTTGTGTCAGTGCTTCCAGCATACTGCTTGTGAGAACTCCCACCATCAGGTCGTTGTGCATAATGCAATGATGCAGTCATGCAAACTGCTGCAAAATTTTTCTTCTGGACAAAATGCAACATAAATCTATTTGTTCTATCAGAATAATAAATAAAAGTAGTTTTCCTGCAACCTCCTACTCTTTCTACCTATTATTTTAGTAATGGAAGACTATGGGGCTGGCTATGGAAATTTGGAGTCTTAAAATGTGCAGCAACATGACACATGAAGGAGGCTAAATTGGCTAAATTGTGTGTCACAAAAGAACTTAAGATTGATAGGAGGGGCGATTCATTTTGTGTAGTTTACAGCTGGGACTAGATCACTTCTCTGAAGGCACACAACCAACACGACATCCCTCTGTCATTTAATAATCTTGTCTTAGAATAAACATCTTGAAGAAGCCCCTTCCTGCTCTCTATTAGTCTCCTCTTCTAACACTCAAGACAACCCAGGAGAGTGTGAGTCTATGGTGAAATACATAACCTTAAACAACATCTTTTAACTGTTTGTTATGCTATACTTAAAATTCACATGCCCATACTACACTTCATATTCTGTAATAAGAATATAAAGCATTTTTTACTATAAAATTGCTAACCACTTGGCTTTATGAACAAGACATGAGGTTTGAACTCACAGCTGACCCTGCTTTGAGCAGATGACCTACAGAGGTACTTTCCACACTGCATTAACCTATGATCTAAGACCTACCATTTCTTAAGCCATAACAGTTCTGCATACTGAGCATATTATCTCAGATGCTTAACAACATGAATTACATCAATAAGAAATAAGCCCTTCTGACAAAGGCAATACAGAATTTACAAATGGAAAGTTATTTTTAACACACAACTTTTAAAAACAAGAAAATAATTTTCATGAGCTAGGTGTTTGTTATCCAATTTCAAATGAAAACAAAAAAATCCCACATTCAAGTAACACAAGAATGACATACTGCATTCCTAGACCACCATACTGTTTCATTATGTCAGAGGTGGACTTGGATGCAACGTTGAAGATTCTGTACAACAGATATTAAAAAGCTATGATTTGGGCATCTATGAATAAAAGTGTTAGCATCAGTGTATTCAGAATTCTGAAATAATTTCTTTTCATACTTCCATTTGTACTGAATACATAAGTGCAGCTAAGGTACCCACTAAGAATTATTATCTGACAGAAACACAAGATACTAACGACAACCACACTGGATGAAGTAAAAAGTCCATCTAGTCTAGTATTCATCTTCAAGCACAGTTAAGTGCCTATAAGCAGGAGAAGAAAAGGAACAGAGCAAGCATACACTGGTATTGTCTTGAAATAACTCCCAGTATCTCATGATGACCATCTCAGGCACCTCCTCAGCTAAAAATTTTGCTTTTGTATTTAACAAAATAAACAGAACAAGGTGGGTAAGGTTTGTAACAAGGAGCTATAAGGTTCCAAACCTCATCACTTCATCATTGATAGTAATGCTTCAGTAAGTCTTTTGACACTGTCTTTCATAACATCCTCACAGGGAAGCTGTTGACATAGAGACTGAATGAACAGAGTGTGGGCTGAAAACTGGCTGAATGGCCAGGCCTAGAGGGCAGAGATTAGTGCATAAAGTCTTGCATGTAGCCAGTAACAACAATCGAGATGATGGAGCAGAGTGGCAAGTCTGCAGATGATACAAAACTGGGAGGGACGGCCGATACATCACAGGTTTGTGTTGCCATCCAGAGAGATCTCGACAGGCTGGAGAAACAGGTACATAGGAACTTCATGAAGCTCAACAAGAAGTTGGAAGTCCAGCACCTGTGGAGGAACAAAGCCATGGTCCAGTATATTCTGGGGGTGAACTAGCTCAAAAACAGGTTTGCAGATAAGGACCCTGGAGGTTCCTGATGGACACCAAGTTGAACATGAGTCAGCGACGTGTTCTTGTGGCAGAGGGCTGATGATATTCTGGGTTGCATTCAGAGGAGGGTTGCCAGAAAGACAAGGGAGGCAAACAAACAAGAAAAGCAAGTACAAAAGAGTTGTCAGCTCAATCAAGTCACAGAGAAGAACTGAGACTTGTAAAAACTGTATTATTCTTCTGTAAGGCCATGTATGGAGGCATTTATAAACTGTATGGTATCTACTAAGGCAAGAATTTCCAACCCTAGTGCTTTTCAGTTGAGCAGCCCTGATGTGATTACTCGAAAAGGCAGCAAAGTCTGTGGGGCACAAACACTTGGACAAAAGCTTCATAAATACGGTAACAATAATTCAGCATATTACAGTGTATCATATACTACAGCAGTAGTCTAATCCTACCTTGCTGGTGGACACAAATCAAATTCTGTCACATAAACTGAATTTATAACATTGAAATCTTTCATGCTCTTCACATACAGATGAACCAAAATAATATCTTTCAGTTTCAATCCCTCTGAAGTCATATTAGCTGTAAGACAAAAATAATACAGCTGTTAAAAGACAGAATATTTTAAATGTGTGTCGAAAGACAACATAGGCATCCTGGTTTTGTTCAGCAAAACCAACTCTTAATAACCTAACAGTTGTCTAAACATGACTGAAGGCTTTGCAACATACTACCTTTCCCCACATAATACTTTTCTTTTTTTTTTCCCTTAAAGTCTCTCTCATGTTAGTTTTCCAAACATACAGAAACAGAATACAAATAAATATTTATTTATTTATTTCACTGAGCAGCAGTGAATTCTTGCCCCAAGAAAACATATCATGCATTAATGTATTTAGATATGTTACAGTCCAAATTCCCTGTATCTATAATTTTTATTATCTCATTTAAAAAAAAAAAAAATCAGTCTATGACAGCTAGTAATCTATAAAGGACTTTGAATCACAAAAGTAGAGGACTGGAAGGGACAATAAGAGGTCCTTTAGTGCATTGCCCTCTTCAAAGAAAAGATCAAATATTTATATGCTATTCCAGAGGGATGCTTGTCTAAGCTGGTTTTGAAAACCCTCACTGCAATAACAATCTCTGCATAAACAAAGAGTTATAAATGGCAAGACAGACAATAGGAAACAGAAGTGGCCACAGGAGAAATGAAGGAGAGATGAAAGTTCAAGCAGATAGTTAAAGAAATGATACCGGGAAGTCAAGATCATCTGAATGTGTTTGCATAGACAATTCCAGTCATAGCACTTCAGGAGAATGTCCATACTCTTACACAGTCAATACCACAGCGAGGTCAATCAGCTCTGCAGTGTGGACCTGTTGTGACTCATGAACCACAGAAACTAAATGAAGACAAAATCTTCTCTGAATATAGAATATATATAATAACAGAGTCCCACGTGATCTAACTTAAATGAGATACTCGAAGCTCTCCTCAGTGTAACTTTGGGGATCTTGTCCTTTAATGTTACAGTGTGTACCTGTATATACCTACATATTTGTTTTCCAGTGGGGAAGCACAGGAGTATAAAGATAATCTCTGTTGGCTCTTGCCTTAGTGAGAAAAAAATATTTCTAGTGAAAAATCTTTCTGTACTTCTAAAGACAATTCAGGAGTTGGCACACCTCTATAAAGGTTGGTTTGGTCACGCCAATAACAAATTTTGCACTAAATGTTAGCTTTATTTATGCACACTGCCATTAGTGTTGGTAATCTGAAGAGGGGAATTCTCATCAACAGAAAAGGAAGTGTGTGCTAGGTGATATAAGAGATTATATACCAATTGACACAGAACCACTATGAAGTCGAGAGACAACTCCAGAAATATTGGTGGAGAAATTAGCGTACAACAATAATTCAGTCCAGAAATATAAATATATCTGAGCACTGCCTGACAGCAATCATTAGGTCAATACAAGTTGCTATGCCATCAGTGGAAGAGAAAAATTTCCAGCCAGCATTTTATTCAAGAAGAGTTTTGGCTTGCAGTTAGAAGTTCTGCAGCATTATATGGAACACTAGAGAAGAAAAAAAAAACCAACCACATTGAACCATCTCCCCAGGTCTAAATTTGAGACACATAAGCCAACAAACTCATTTGTGGACATGTAAGAGCATTACAGCAAGTTGAAGGTAAAGAGATTTGGACAAATCTGTAATTTCTAGCTTCATTTAAAAAAAAAAAATCTTCAAGTACAGTCCCCTTTTGCTCTGCATGAATTAGAGGAGTGATGGGAAGTAAGTTCTCCCTAGCTTGTAAGCTTGTCAATAAGTTGACCTCCAAAAGGACTCCATCTAGTAGAAAGGCACAAATGATAAACTAGTCACCAACTGACCACTTGGGTTCTAGATAAGAAGTTCCATTTCCCAAGGAGAGGACTCTTACACAGCACATCTCCAGGATGTACAGGAAAATCATCCAGCCTTCCTGTTGAATTTCAAGCAATTCACTGTTCCTAATAATTCATAAAATATGGTCAGGTGAGACCCATCCTTACTGAGGCAGAACTGCCTAAAAAGAACTGACTCAAAAGATAACACTGGCTGAAGTACAGGTTTATTTTTTAAATGGGGTTATCCATTAGCCACTGTTAGCCACAAAAGACAATAACCAACCTGTCTATAGGAAGTAGCACTTTTGACTAAATTTTCATGTAAAAAGACCTCCACTATGTAGTTCCCTTCAAGCCTATGGAACTTTGCCACAGTACAGCTGTACCAGAGCTGCTTGATATATCCCTGGGTGTCTTTAAGGCCAGGCTGGATGAGGCTCTGGGCAGTCTGATCTAGTGGGAGGTGTCCCTGCTCATGGCAGAGGGGTTGGAACTGGGTGATCCTTGTGGTCCCTTCCAACCCTGACAGATTCTGATCTGTTTTAGCAGAGGACTTTAGAGCCCTAATGGCTCAATGGTTGGACTTGATGATCTTGAAGGTCCCTTCCAACCTAAAGGATTCTATGATTCTATGATATATAAGGCACTGTAATGTTTATCAGCTTCCAGTCACATCTAAGTAAATGTTGAACAAAAAATTTAAGAAAATAAATGTAAACATACTATACTGCATTCCCTCCTGCTCTTGGCTTCAAGGGGGAATTCCATCCACTATACAGAACAACCATGTTTCATAACATCCAGTAATAAATTCCCATTTCTGGATTGTTTTGGCAGTACTTATCCTCTTTAGAGGTGATTAAATCAGTTAACCCAGCAAAGAGGTTAAAAGGCCTGTGCCTATTCCTTTCTCACAGCACTGAGACTGAGCTGCACCTGAGTTCAGAAAAAGCCTTATGCCTATTTGCAGATCAGTTACATTCTTAGAAACAAATTGTTTCTTTTGCTATGACAGAACGATAATTCATTCAGTTTTCCACACTCACTTCCAAAAAGAGAAAAACAAAAGGATATGTGAGAACCAACATTTTCTATCAAGGAGCAGAAAATTACCATTTTTTTCACTATAACACAGCTAATGCAGTAATTTGCTGAAAGCAATAGGCTACTGTACTAGTCAGAGACAATCTTTTTTGACAGATAACAAGGCACAAATATATGATGTTTGTATTGGTAGATTTCCATTCAAATATGACAACAAAATAAAACATTACACAACACATAAACTAGCTCCATGACTTTCTACAAAGTGTAACTTGTTTCTGAAGAAAAAAATCAAGGGTTTCTTTATCATCCTATATTCAATCATGAATACTCAGCTGCACATGCAGAAAATAACATTTTATAGGACAATACCTCATGCAAATTCATGAACAGGAATATGAGCCTACCCATTTAGATACTAAAACCTACTTCCATTTTTATGATTGAAAAGAAGCCTATATAAATAGGCGTTACTTAAAGTTTAGAATTTAAAAAATACAAAAAAAAAGAACATTTTATTTTATATGTCAGTATCTTGTAAGACAGGGATAGTAAGGAACCTGGATTTCATGATTCCCAAGATAGCAATTTCTCCTTTCCTTTAAGAATATAAATGAGATTTACTGCTACTGACCAAATCCTAGATGCCAAAATGTGCAACACCTTCCTAGAAACTTTAATTTATAATTATGGTAGCTAGTAGCTAGGGTTTAGCAAGTAGACAGCATAGCATACATGCACACTCACACAGAGAGTGTATATTGCAAGAAAGTTATAAAGCACATTATAAAGTAAGTACTTTGGAAATAGTGTTGTTACAATGATATGAACACTATTGTGGCTTTCTAGGGTCCTCAAAAGCCACTCAAATTATGATGTGTTCAATATTAAAGCTGGCATTCTTGATATCAATGATTCTAATAAAATGCAAAATGAGATGGCAAACAGAAAACCAAAACATATAAAGTTGTAAAACAATATGACAATACAGTTTCTTAATACCACATTAAGACGAGTGTAGTTAAGAGCAGATAATGCATTAACTGAATAAAGCACCTCGGAGAGAAGAAAACGCCTCCATTGCTGCCTCTTGAGCATTTTTGCCTTTTGATGGAAGGAAGTATGCAGTGACACCTGAAAACCACTGGTAACCACTGAGGGATTTTCCTGAACTTCCAAACGACTTAACTATGGGAAATGAAGAACAGACTATAATTATAATAATGAAAGACTTCAGATTAACCTAGTACATATTTTAAATTGTTTTAGTAGGAAGAACCTTCACAGAAAAAAAAAAAAAAAAATCACAAGCTGCAAAAACATCTGAAAAAATATTTATAGACAAACAACTACAAACCAAAACTTTAAAGCAGTGTACTGGTTACAAAGCTTCCAAACACAACTTGACAAATTCTTGTCCAACGTTGCCTTCAGAAAATATGCCCGTAAGTGGTATTGAGCTGAGAATTTCAGTACTTCCCTTGTTTCCATTGCTTCATTGCAGTTTCTCTACCTGTTTTGATACAGATTTGGCACTGGATGTGACACTGGAAAGCTAAAATTTTCAAAAGTATCTGAATGACACAGCAAACAGATTTTCAAACTTATATGCCAAATTGTAATGGAAGTTAGGTATTTAACCTGGTTCTGATCATCTTAGCAAATGCATAACATGTTTAATTTAGTTTTTAACATCCCACTTAACCATATTCAAGAGGCTAAATACCATTCAATATCAAACACTGTTATGCTATGAAACAGTTTTCAGGAGAAGTTTATATTCTCTGGCTGTAGGTTAACCAGTGATCCTATGGCATTTCAGTGAGGTACCAACCTATGAACTCAGGTTTCCCTTGCATTAATCAGCTCATGTTTGAGGCAGTACTAGCATCGGACATATGATTAGTTACTGCAGCTCACCTACAAGACAGTAAACTTCCTAGGCAGCTAGACTTGATCATGCAACATCACCCTGAGGTTGCTCGAGTGGCAACAGACTCGTGTCAGCAAGTTGAATGGCTGCATTTTCTACTTAATTTTAGACTTTGCTTTTCTGTCTTCACTTTAGAAACAATGGAGTATGGGTACAGGTGTGGTTAGACCTTTTAAATAAAGCTCTATTTCTCCACTCGAATGATTGCATCATAGTAGTTTCATTCAGGCAAACAGAACACATTAATGTGTGTTTTCTGAAATAAAAAAAAAAAAAAAGGATTATGCTCCTTCTGTAAAGTAACTTGCAATGCCTCATTACTATTGATCCTTTCTATTGATTCCTATCAGAAAACTGCACTGTAGTAGGATCTCTTCTTTTTCCACAAGCATTATCTTCAGGAATGTTCTTATAGTAATTAACAGAGTACTCCACCACAGCATGAAATATTAAATATTATTTTTCTAATGAAAGCTGACTTACTGAAATCCACAGAATTATGTTTCAAAGACTTCCAGATGACTGGAATGTTTTCCTGCGGTTCATCCTTTTCTGATGAAGGAAAAACATCATCCTCATTGCAGATTACCTCACAAGAACAGCTATTGACCAGAAGTGCACCTGAAGACTCCCCCTGCTTGAGACAAGCATTATGAAATAAGCAAGTAAACACAGTACTAAGCAGTATGAAATCACCACATTTTATCATTCAGATTTTGGATTTTGATTACAGAAAATACTATAGCTCAATAGGTGTGTAAGCTTAGAGCAATTCATGGAAGAACAGCATCAGGTTTTTCCAGCATTTAATTGTTGAAACTGGCCTTCAACATGTGCTTCTGTTGACATATGTGGAATAAAAATCCAGACTTAGTAGTAAATAAGTACAACAGATATGAAAAATTATGCGTCTCAAGAGACACAAAAATTACTCATAAAGAAATGCTATTCCACAATTATGCACAGGACAACAATGTTTTTCAAAACCAGTATAAATTAAGTGAAAAAAGGAACAAAATTACAAAAGTAACAGTTTGATAATTAACATTGTCACCAAACACTTGAAACAAAGAAAAAGACAAACAAGAAAGTTTGAAAACTTTGTGGAACCTTGAATGAATGCAGCCCATGTAAAGAAAAAAACAGAATCTTTCCAGTCAATGTATGAAGACTATCCCCTCCATCAAAATTACCATGCTTTGGGATGCTCAGTTTTGAGATAACATTTCCCAAATTTTATATGTCAAAGTAATTTCTTGTCAAGGAAGAAAAATAATGTACTGTACCACCTTTTCTTCCAAAATGCTTTCTTAAGCCTAGGAAAGATACCCAGCATGCCTTTTAAAGCCAAATACACAAAGTGCATACTGACCAGTCTCCCAAAATTGTGTTCATTATATTTTCAACAAGTCATATAATTACAGCATACACATATATATTCTCTAGTTTTAGAGCAAACAGAACTACTCTCTTCCACCTGATTTTCCAAGGCAGCCTAATCTGCAGAACATGTTGACTTTGGGATCACTAGCTTGGCTAATACTACTCGTCTTCATCTAAAACCAATATGAATTATGACAGAATTTATCCATAAACCTTAACCAAAAATCACCGCATACTGTAACTCCAGATTCTATTGATTAGGTTTTTGCTCAAAGGTTTCAAACTTCATATAACGTCTAAACTATGCATTTTACTGCAAGCTTAAATACCAAATTCACAAAAACAATGCTAAAGATAAATGAAGCAAGATAAAAAGTTGACAAAATATGAAGCCTTTGGCAATCCTTAAATGTGGATTAGAAATAGCTGAATATTCTTTTAGCTCACAGATTACTGTACTAGATGTAGAATTTTTATGCAACTGTCTTTATAATACATTTCTAATTGGAACTTATCAATTTGTTAGACAAAATGGGACATATTAAAAGTTACTAATCAAATTTGAATATAGACTTTTTTTAAAAGAGTAATTTCATTGTGTTTTATTCTTTGGAAAACAAAACATATGTTATTGCAATTTCAAAAGTTTTCTCTTGATACTAAACAAACAAACAAAAAAATGGGGAGAAAAAAAGCAGAAAACTATAGTATGCATCAAAAAAGTACAAAGAGAATTTGGCATTTACATCAACACCTCACTTCACTGGGAAGAAAAATGAACCAATCAAACTAAAGCAGTGTATTTGGAAATTCTCAGAAAAGGCTACATTACAAAAAAGTCATTACCTATGAGAGGCAACTCAGCTCTGCTGGCTTTAAAAGGGCTCAAGGCGAGTTTTATAAGCACTGTAAACACTCAAGCTATGTTCTAAAAGGGGATGTTGTGCTTTGATTAGACCTCATTTTATTCATTCCTTCATGAAAGGCATGAAAGTCAAGGCTATAATCTACTTTATGTGAATCATTTGTACATGAGAGTTTAAAAGAAGTCAACTAAATATACCAGAATAGTACAAAGATTAAATTTAGCACCAACACAACATGCATTCCAACATTACAATATACAGGCATCCAACAGCATCAATACCATTTCCTACTCACTGAATCACACCTTTAACTATTGCTGTTGGTTGATATGTTTTGCTGTTACCCAGAGGGCTGCCTGATAGTCCCTAACTCTTCAGGTATGACTTATAAATAAAGAAGTAGGAACACAAATCTGTAATTGAAATAGATCTTAAAGTGGATTTTGCTACAAAAACCAAGAAAATTCAGGTTTTTTTAAAGTTTCTACTTTTTTTAATCCATGAGATGTTGCTTTATAGAAATATACAGACTGCATAGTGGCATGAAGTGCTACCATTTCATTCTTGCAAAGTGTTTTTTTATTAAATTAATTGCTTTCGCTATCTAATTTGTAATGTCCATCATGAAACAATCAATTTTTCTTGTAGCACAGCCATTCACTGACTACCATTGCAACATAATCCAGAGTTTGCACCATTTGGTCCTACCCTCAGAGTAAGCATGAACACTCAGTGATATGAATGATACTATCACAGCACTGCTTTGGGTTTTGTTTTTAGATCAGTTGTATTCTAATTTTAATACAGCATAACATTCCATCACTGGACAAAAAATATGTTAACTAGAAAATTTCCAGCTTTCCAGTACGACTGCCATATTTGTTTCGCGCTTTTGTCAAGCTTTATGTAATTACCTTTTAAGAGATCCAGAGCTACTGTAGGTACTTCTAGGTAGAAGATACTGCACAGATCTTTTGTAGGTACTATTAGAAACCCATAATCTCTCTCTGTTCTCTTACCTGGAGTATGGAATCTATAACATGTTCTGTAAGTGAACACGAAAAAAAGCACCTATTCCATTTTTATGCCATCTGTGAAAAGTGTTCTTTCAACCATGCTCCTAAACATGTTTCCTGCAAAATACGCTTCATAAAAAATTCATGGAGATGTGGTGGGACTCTCAGACTGTATCACAACAGATTTGGTGTAACCTACAGAACACCCCTTTAGCTTTGTAATTTGTTAATACTAAAAATATCCCAAATTGATGCTGCATGAAATTTTTGTATCACCCGCAGTAACACCCCTTTTTCCTAAATATCTCCCTATTTTATAAATTTTAAAGCTTATATGAATATCATTTCCCAGATATAAATACAATTACACATCTGTGTTTATACACATACATAAACAGCTGGTCAGTTGCAAAATTTTTGGAACTTACTAAGAAATACTAGAAATTCTACAATGTCTCTTAAATAAACCAAGGACTGTAAAAATAATTATAGGCTACTGTTGATTTCAATACCTATGATACATCACAATGATTCATTCAAGGCTGACTCCCAAAATGCTCCAAAAACATAGGTAATCAATCACTTTCTGCAGCAGCACAGGTGCAGGCTACAGCAGAAGTATTAGGTGTAGAATCTGGCACTAGAAGAACAGGCTCAATGCCAGCCTAAGTAGAGCTGCCAGACTCTGTTTAGTAGCTATATTCAAATCTCATACAAATGTTGGTCTTCCATTCCTGTCGACAGAGAAAGCAATCTAAGAATTTAAAACTTAAAGTTATAGACTGCCACAGACTGACTTTCCCTGAATAATGTTCTCATCACTTAAAAAAAACCCTCCAAGCTTCTATAATGCCATTTAAATGAAATCCTAGAGAACCTATTTTGTCACATAACATTTTCATGTTACTTCACAGAAGCAATATATTTTCCCATTTGTTACACTGTTTTTCCCACACCCACTGTACATTGTGATACCAACCTAATTTTGGATCAGAGCCTGCATGCATGCATATGCTTAACTATATTCACATAACTCATGTCATTGATGCACGTGCACTCAGAATGAAGTTAAGCAAATGCATGAGTGTTCCAAGATCCAAGTTCTCCTGTTAAAAAGCCTTACAGCTAGGACTTTGACAGATATAGCTGAAATTCCACGCAGTGGTCTTTTACGAAAACAACAGATTGTCTTCTTATAAAAGCTTACATTCTCCACTACAGAAACTGGTATAAAAACCTATCACAACACAATTCCAAAACTGATAGTTCTCCTACTGAACAGCTAAGAGAATACAGTGGGGCAGAGAGCTCAGAACATAAGGAAAGACTATGATAATCTCTTTACCCTTTGTGGTGCACCTTGATAACAGAACTCCTTGAGAGAAATATGAGAGAGATCACAAACATCAACTTGCCATACTTCAAGACACATAGGAAAAAAAGTCCTTTTCTCTAAATATTTAAAATTTCGTCATTATGCAAGGATAGCAAAAAATTATCTTTCCTCAGAGGGCTGCACTGAATCTGCAATCAAATGGAGTAGGAAACAAAATCCTTTGCATCTGAAATAAATCAGTGTACAAAAAAAAAAAATTCTGCAGTATTTGCTACAAAGTTTTAAAAGAATAACTACAAGGTTTATCTATATTCTTGTGCTGTAGAAGAGAAACTAAAGGTTACCTAGGAGAATTATCATTCAGTGATGACATAATACTCAAAAAATACCACCCACAGTGTCACCAACAAAACTTATTTGCAACTTCACATTCCTTTCTGTTCCCCTATATCACTTACAAAGTCTAATTCTAGAGCTGAAGTCCTAAATGGAGATTAACTAAAATAATTCAGGCCAGAAGGAACTGGACAGAAATCACCTACAAAGTTAAATCAGATCTAACCTGCAGGGCCATACTCCTTTACTACACAAGGCATGTGAATATGTCCTAAACACCTTTTCTAACTTTTACAAGTGTTTTGAAAATAATCTCCAAATTGACCTGTGAAATAGATTTGCTGATATTTAACGGGGGAACAACTGTTTGCACTTCTGAAATGCATTCCACCCAAACAGGTCAAGATCTTTTACAAGCAGGAAAATAAACAAGCCTCACAATATCAATTTATGATAGGTAAATACAACGTAGTAGTATGCTATGGGAAAGAGCAGCAGCGTGCATGATTCCTGTAACTGTTACAGGCAAACAAGCCCCTTTTCTTCTGCCAACTGTAGAAGGAAAACTACATGACACCTTCCAATTCTGGACTATCCCTAACTTAAGGGGCTGCCGTTTCACAGCTTATATTGTGTGATGCATGCAAGCTCTGATTCACAACAGCTTTAATTTCTATTTCTGATCATTCAAAAGCCAATATAACTTCACAGAGTAAAAGAATAGTACGATATGGGGAAAATAAAACTGTTTTGCAAGTTCATTTTGCTGTCAATGTAAAAAAAAAAAAAAAAGTTGCACAGAAGTATTTTTTCCTAATTGAAAATGCTTAAAATTAATTTTATATTGCATACAAAAGCTGATACACTTGATTTAAAGATGCTTCAGAAATTGCCTCCCTTTCAGCAAAAAACATTCTACGTTTTAAATATACAAAGTAACAGTACTATTGGCAAAGTAAAATATTGATGAAGTTAGGTATCCGTGTTACATACATCACAGTGGTGACCTTGTTTTTTTACCATGAAGTAAATGAGACATTCCCAAAATTTAAGCATCAGCATTTTATTAGCAGTATTATCTATTCTTAATGTTTTTGTAAAATGTCTACAAAAATTATCTTAAGCCATATGTCTCAAAACTTTTAATAATGTTTTAATAACAAAATCTTATGTCTATTTATCTCTTTAGCTTTTTCTGTATCAATGGAAATGAAAGAAAAGAGGGTGTGTTAAAAAAGTGCTTTAATTATTATGCAAAAACACATCTTGCAGTTGCACAGTAATGTATTAAACCAGAACAGTGAGTAAAATGTTATTTTCCCCCAGGCACAAGGGCTCATTTTGCTGCCAGAAACAATCTAAAACAAATTTCTAAGCAGGCTTTGTAGTTAAACATGAAGAGATTTAGTTGAAGAAAATGCATTATAGAGGAGGAAAGACAGCAGAGACTAAGGTACGCTGCTATAATTGCATAATCACTATGAAAGTAAATTCAAAGAATGTACAGTTAACACCTGTGGCACATAATGAAGGTAAAATGAATATACAATAAGAGTTAAAAATACATATATCTCTCAATTGAAATGATAACAAAATGATGCCACAATACTTATTAGAATTACACATCACTGCACAGTCTACTAGTAGTTTCTACAAAGTGCTCACACAAGTGTCTACTTTTACATGTTGTTCACAATGCAGGTGTTTTTTTTTTTCCAAATTTCAGTAATCCCTTGAAAGTCAGTAATTAAAATTAGTTCTCTTTCTAAACCAGTTTTTCCCTGCAGTGATTTGTTGTTGTATGTTTGGCTTTCAAGTGTTGAGTTACTCACTGATACTCACAGTTTTGGGTAGGGCTTGTAAGCACTAAATAGTGAAGAAAAGTACAGTACTATGGGCATATCACTCTTGAAGGCATCGCTCTCTTTATCATTATGCAGTTAAACCATGCTAACTCAGTAACAAGTTATGTTCTGAAAGATTGACTGGTTCTCCATATTCATAACCTCCTGAAAATATACCTTATTTTATCGTGACATAAAATCATCTATAGCCAAAAGATTCTAATGCTTTTCCTTATGAGATAACCACTGCAGAAAATAGACTACTTTCCTTTTAACTGTACAAGACATTGGTTTATATACCAAAATCCAGGGCAAGCCTCTGTAAAGCTTACCCCTTTGAGAGTATGACAGCTTTGTGTACAATGGATTTCAAATAAGATTTACTACAATGCTGCTTGAAACTGTGAGGCTTTAACCAAATCTAAAACATCTACATAAGAAGGGGAAAAGAGCTTCTGAACAGATAAAAGTAAAATCTTGATTCTTATGCATTTTAATATGATTTTTTTTCCTGATTTATGTAAAGCTTTGTGTTTTTCATTTTCCCTACCCTGTCACATTGCAGTGATGTATGATGCATTTTAGCATCAAGTTTGCCATGAGCAATAAAGTGAGTGCTCTCAAAGAAATATAAATATATTATCACTCTTCCCCACCATGCCCTGCTCCCAAATTTTCCTTTATTCAGCCTATTTGGTTTTGCTTCACATAGTTAGTTGATATCCTTTTCACAGTCTCCCACACAAATATTTAATGTTTTATTTTTGAAAGAAATCCCAAACTAGAAGTTGACAGGATGAATTACAGTTTACTTTCCAAGGCAAGAATGAGGCCAACATGGAAGAAAAATGTACAGGTATTTTATCTGTTTGAAACAATAAAATTTAAAAAGAGGGAGGAGGGAAAAAGGCATGATCTACTGAAAGAAATTCAGGAAATGTAGTCTCTCAAGAGACATGAAATGTGAAATACCAATATAATAACATCCTATAAAAATCCATGCACTTAGAAGAGGTTCAAAGTATAGAAAGAAGCAGGAATACCTATAAAAAAGGTGACTGCAACAGTAGTAGCATAATCATGAGGCACTCCAAAACACTAGCACTTATAGATGTTCAGGATAAAAAAAAATTGTTTTACTAGTAAAATAAAGAAAAATAGAAAAGTCACGACAAAAAACTATAAAAACTAACTTCCGCTTTGACCTTCTTATCTCTGCTCACATGGAAGCCTGCAATAATTAAACCACTAGCTGCTACTCCTGTTCTGCTGTTTCTACAGATTCACAAGCTAAGAGAATTAATCCCCGTGAACTACTAATGATTCCTTTAAGATCTTTGACGAGTATAATCTCCTTTACACTGTTTGAATTCATTCATTAGATATATTCTTCATATGGAAAAGATAAATGAAAAACCAGTACATTTCAAACTCGAGCAGCTGTGGGTCAATGTTTTACCAATCATGTGGCCCAGCATAAAAAATAAGGCAATCAGCAGAAAACAGATTTTACTATCCAATTCCACTGAATACAGGAAAAATATGATATGGTTAGCAGCAGGGGGAACAAACAGATTAATATAACTATCGTAGTTAATGCAACCAAGGAATGAGTAAGCCATGCCAGGGATGTGGTAAAGGAGGAAGGAATAGGCCAAGCCAGAAGTCAAATCACAGTCACACAAAAGACACCACAGCACTTGCCAAGGAGATGCACTACCAGCCACACCATCCTTGTTCTGTCCAGCTCCCAATCCTGTCCCACCCTTGCTGGGAACACTTGTTGCAGAGGACAGTCAGGGAGCCCTTCCAGTAACAAGAAAACTCTCACACAGTACATCCACCCATAAACAGACTTCCCCAATTCACTTCAAGCAGAACCAGCTCTTATACTATTAACTGCAAAGGCAGGACAACTGGTGGTGTCCTCCTCATTGGTTTTTGCCTAAGGCTGGCCAGGCCTCGAGACAAAACCAAGAGGAAGGTTTCTCCTGGTACTGAAAAACCCTCTGCCAGGTTGTGAGAACCATCTACATGTCAACTGTAATTCAGGGGGCAGGGTTCAGATCCCAGCCCTTCAGTCAGCACATTTTTAAATCATCCACTTTATGTCAGAAACAGCAAAAAGAGATGCCACCTCCCAGTAAATCAGCACTGTCCATACAGTTTCCTAATACAGTGCTGTTCCACAGGGTGCCTAGCTGTGCTACACAGGTTACATGTGTGCTTGACTGAACCACACTGGCTGAGCACCTTGAGGTTTCAAGATGAAAAATACTACACAGATGCACTACCTTCATTCATTCATTCAGTCAGTCAGTCAGTCAGGAAGCATTTGTGTTGAGTTTTTCCTTATGGTAAGTTCTGAAATTCAGCTAAATATGTACATTGTAATTTGAAAGTACACCCACATGAGAGTATGTAGGATTCCTCCAAACTGTGACAAAGCAAGATAAAAAAAAAAACTTTAGAGGAAGACATATTCAATCTACTTGCCTTATTCTCCAGGTGTAATTTTAAAAAATGAAGGTAGGCCACAGGTGCAAATGCATCAGCTGAATGCACAACCACCTTATTTGAATCTCTGAAATACAAAATACTTAGCATCAAATATTATTACACAATTTTACATACAGACGATACTTAGTTGCTGTAAAACACAGATTCTAAGGTAATGCACTGAAAATATATTAATTTATTTTGCATATAAATGAACAAAAAATACTTTGCAATATAAAATCATACTGTTGAACAACACATTATCTTCACTAATATTCAATTTTCAGAAGGAATAAATTATACTTCCTGTGTAGCCAGCACAAGCAGGATGCAGGAACAACCAGAAAACCACAGATGAAATGCAAAGAGTAAATTTAGTTTTATTACTTCACCAGCCAGGGAATCCCTGAAGCAGTACCCAGGCACAGCACACAGGTGGGAACGTGGGCACCACAAACCTCGGTCCATGCTAGAGGATGACAGTCTTGCTGGGTTTGCTGCATTTCAGGGACTCACGCAGGCATAATTTGTTACATGGCTTTGATCTCGCAAACAGCAGGGCAGGAAACTCAAGCACATTTGATAGGGTGCTTCTAAGTCTATCACAGGCCTGTATTATCTAAACACAGATGTTTTACTTGTCCAACACACAAGGCAAAGCAGCAATTAATATGATAAATGTGTTTTTTGACACCCTAGCTGCAAGTCACAATCCTCCTTGCCAATCTTCCACTATTCTCCCACACCAGTGTTGAGAGATTCAGTTAGTAGCAGTTTATGAAAGCCTAAATGACATTACGTTTTCATATTCCAGAGATTAATATGTAAAACTATCTTTTAATTTCAGCAGCAGACTACTTTTAAAAAGTCCTTTCTTCTTGATTAACGGTCCAGGGATTAGTTCTTGAAGTATTAACAACATACAATATTTCATGCTGAGAAACTGACTGATTCGACCATCTTGCATCTGATATTGAAGATGACTAGATGCAACTTTTTAATGCCAAATGTGTGGGTAACAATGATAAACTTCCTATGTGCTGATTCAAATTAGTTAATTTTAGTTTTCATTTTTACAGGCACAATCTGTCACGCTTTGATACACAAGAGGCAGTATCTGTTATATCCATCTGCATGGTTTTACTAAAGAAAAAGGTAGCTCTAGGAAACAAACATCAGAAAGTGAGAAACTCAGAGAAAAGATAACAGAAACTCAGAGGCAGTATAAGACAATCTGAAAATTGTTATAAGTAAGGGTATACATAATTTTCCTGAAACCACAGTGCCCTTGATACCTTCACAACATTCTATGAGATGAGATGGATTGGTAGTATTGCCACATAAAGCCCATGCAAACTGGAAACAGTTGAAGTCTTGGCCAGATTCCACTGACTTAACGAAAGTGTAAACATAATGGAAATATCTGTTCTATAAAATATATTTTGGGATAACAAAACTCACAAAAGATAATCATGATCACTATATTGCACAATAATGGTAAATACCTTTAACATCGGAAGCTCCACTTCCCTTATAGTAAACTTTTAAAATATTTTGATAAATAAGCCTTCATTCTTCAGACTGATCATCAAGATTCTTTATTATTAAAACATCACTTAAACCTTTAAGATATTGTAAAGATAGTCCCTTAAGATTAAAATCATTCTTTTCAAATAACCATGGTGTCTTTTAATTCCAATAACTGTAAGATTTCTGAGCACTTAGTTTTTGCTCAAGAAGTAGTGTAAATATTAAGAGATCATAAATATTTCTTCTTGGTATGAAGTACGTTCCTATGACATACAGCTAACACACAGGTATTTGATAGGACTGTAATGGATGCCTAGTTTAATATGCCAATATTTCTCAGCTGATGGGTCACAACAGTAGCTTATGTAGTGTTGAAAATGTATTACAGTACATATAGACAGAAAATATTTTTCCCTAACTACTTCATTTCCTGTCAGTCTCTACAAACATACAGCATTGTTCTAACTGATAAAATGTACAGGCTTGTTCAGCAGTAAACGTAACAATGAACTGGTGGAAAGCAGAAGAGTTTTGTTTGCATCCAATGATGAGTCACCAATAATTATATAAGTAGTGTTATAAGTGACAGGCATGTTAGATCTTTTCCTGGTTTACTTGGTCCACGTGGGAAGGTTTTGGTACCCAGCGGTGGTCTGCAGGAGTTGCCTCTACGAGAAGAGAGCAGGGGCTGCCTCTGTGATGACATATTTTAAAAAGGGTAAAAAGGCTGCACAGCAGCTGTGACAGGAGTGAGAAAAATGAGAGAGAAATAGTCATCCAGACACGAAAGTAAGTAAAGGAGTATGGAGGAGATGCTCCGAGTGCCAGAGCAGAGATTCTGTTCAGTCTGTGGAAAAGACCCTCGTAAAGTTTCCCTGAAGCCCTTGGAGGACCATATCAGAGCAGATACACACACTGCAGCCTACGGAGGACTCCATGTAGGAGCAGGTTTTCTAGCAGGAACTGTGGCCCATGGGGGAGCCATGATGGGGCAGCCTGCTCCTAAAGGACTGTGCTTCATGGTAAGGACCTGCACAATAGCAGTTCTTGAAGAACTGCCCCACAGGAAAGACCCACACTGGAACAGGTCATGGAAGACTGTAGCCCATGTGATGCAGATCCAGGCTGGAGCATGGGGAAAAGTGTGAAGAAAAGGGAGCAGCAGAAATGCAATGTTGTGAACTGACCACAATCCCTGTTCCCCATCCCCTTGCACTGCTCAGTGGAGAGGATGTATAAGAGTCAGGAAGCAAAGGAGTGAAGTTAACCCTGACGAGATTGGCAGTAAATTAAGTTAACTTCCCCCAAGCTGAGTCTGGTTTGCCTACAACAGTAATTGATAAGCCACCATCCTGTTCTTATCTTGATCTACAAGTTTTTTTATCGTATTTTCTCCTCCTTTCTTGCTCAAGACAGGGAATAAAAGCAGCTTTGTGGGCACCTGGCAGCCAGCCAAGGTTAATCCATGGCAATCCAAGGCAAAATCCAAGGTTAATTCAAGGCAAAAGTAATCTTCAGTGTCTTCCTCAGAAAGTTACTTTATGAAGATGTCCTGGAAGAGTTCAAGAATTTAGGTACCTTCAAAATCCTGGCAGGTTTTAACCTCTAAATTGTAATTCTTACAACTTCATTCAAGCTTCAAAAATTGTATTCAAGATGTATCCCAGAACTACAGCTATGTAAACATTTGGAAACTATACTACCATGCTCAACAACAACATTCCAAAGTCTGTTTGGATTCAGTGTATATGAAAAGCAGGAATAAAGAGCAGAAAATAAACTTGTAACTTATTTAATGACATAGAAACTACAAAATATTTTTCTTTAGAAGTTCATAAAGCAATAGGGTTCACAGGAATGGCCCCTCAAAAGGCATGTCTTTATGACATGAGTAACATCACACAGCTAAGCAGAGCCCATCAAGCCAGAGACATACAATGCCAAAGTAGCTATTCAGTTTCCATTACAGAAATTTATATTTATAAATAATTGAGTAACTGTCTAAACAGTCTGCTGTGCCACTCACTGATTTATATATTTGTCTTTTCCTGTTTTTTGTTTTGTTTGTTTGGGGTTTTTGTTTGCTTGGTTGTTTTGTTTTGTTTTGTTTTGTTTGTTTGCTAGCTTTGTGCATTTATTGTTAACTTTTATTATTTGGAGTGTCACCAATGAAAATAAAGACAACTCAGCCAAACCACATCTGTTTAATCTTTTCCTTGTTCCCTGAATGGTCATCAAAACACTGATAGCCAGAAATACATTTAGAATATAAGATGTTCCTACTTAAACTGCTATTTTATTGATAACAAACCAAAGGACTAATGAACCTTCCCAAAAATGTTCCTCAAATTCTATTAATAAATAAATAAAAATCTCCACACTACACCAACCAAGAATTTATCATGAGATTTGACTTAGTTTTCTCCAACCTGCTGTATCTAAGCAAAGAATGCTTTGAAAGGGAGCACTGGGAAATTATGCATCCAGTTCAAATGAACTGCCAGATTTAGTCTGTCACCTCAGACTAAATCTTTTAGTCTGTAACTAAAAAACCTAAAAATAGAAAGAATGTAAATAATCAGCCAAACATATTGAAGTACAAAAACTGATACAAACACATTTAATCTCTTCAGTTAAAACCTAGCTATCCTTCTTTGGAAGCATAGTTTTTGTGTTACAATATACACAGTGAACAGGCCACATTTCACAAAATTCTGCCTCTGACATCTACCAGAATTATTTAAGAATTTGTCAGTTTAACAGAAATCATATCAGACTTTAAAGGCAAAAATGTGTTGCATCATGGTCTAGCAATTGTTTCAGGTATTTTCCTTTTTGCTAGAAGAGACTGAACTGATTCCATCTAAAAGAATATTTTGGAGTTTTGTATGTTGTCAAAATAAACCCCAAGTTTATTTGTGATAAGATGTACTCAAGCATCACACACATTTTATTCTAATTTCCTGCTTAACTTGCCAACTCCTACTAGTCAGCAGGTTGGCTCACAGACTATGGCTTCTACCAAGCACCTGTTTTCCCTCAGAGAATCTCCAAGAGTCTCACTTCCTGGCCCATATATTCATAATTCCATCTGTGAACTTAAATCCAATTTAAAGATTCTACATTGTTACTTTCTGAATCTTCTTATGAAAGGATTCCATAGCTTTCCTGCATGGAGGTATCTCCAGACTCAAGTTATCTAGTTTTTTAGTTCACTCTGGAGGACATATCTTCCAGTCAACCAACAGTACAACAGAGATTTGCCACAGTAGCTGCCATTCCTTTATACCTGTTTGTCTATTAATCTTCTCTCAGATATCATGCAATGAAACAGAGTTAACAGCTCTTGCTTCTCTGTTCCTTATATGGACACCTCCCAGTCTTACAGAAAAATGAAAATAGACCTTCGACATTAAAGCCTTAATCACATCTACATGCTCCATAACCTTGACCTTCCCTAGAATGACTATCACCTGATTACTAGTCTCTTTACTTGCCTAAGAAAAGGAACCGCAGTTAAAATATCTCAATCAAAGCAAGCAGAGTAGCTACTTAACAGATTAATAAGAAACCTGCATCAAGATACAAAGATTTCCCATATCCCACTACAGAGATTTCACCAATTTATGCCAAAGGAATAAACTACTCAGTGTAAATAAGATGGATTCATGCGAAGTTTGTATTTAAAATATCCACTGATAAGTGAAGAAAAATGTTTATAGTTCTTATTCTAAGCTCCTAAACTTAAACCACACACACACAGAGTTAATGGAACCCACAAGCTACTGATGTGACAGTTTATCAAATGTAACTGTAATGAAAGATAAATATTACAGGCAATTCACACTTCATGAAAGGATAAAAGTGTCAGTGTGTAGGTACCAGTTTTACTGCAGGCCATAATCAGCAAGTAAACGAAAGCGCAAATGCCTAAAAAGTTTATAGCCCTCTATGAAGGCCTCGTCTTGTCATGTATTGATTTAAGTTTTCAGAAGACTTTGCCAGTGTTAAACAAACAGTGTTTGTGAACTTAGAGGACAAGCTTTACCTCTGCCAACAAAAGTTGCCTCAAGCTAACCATGAGTATGCTCCCATTGCTTTAATATAAGGAAATATAAGAAAACGTTTCTTACACAACTATCTTCTTCTTAAACAGAGGGCAGTCCAATGTGAATGTTTCATATTCTCCACCTTCTCCACAAACATGGACTCCATATTTCTCAGAAAGCTAACAAAAAGGGAAATTAAAATACGTAAGTATCACATTATAGTGGTCTATTAAATATACCTTGATGAAAATTTCTGTACGTACTCTCTAAAAGACTACCCACTACAAGCCTGGAACAAAAACAAATATTGTACAGAGACTTCTTGATTTCTTCACATGCATATTACAACAATCTAAAAATTACCAATGTGTTATATTTTAAGTAGAACTGACACTGTAACATTCAGATAAACAAATGCATTCCTAGTCCTCCTTCTCAGTGGCCATGGAAGATTGTTCAGACTCCAGTATTTGTCTATCTTCCTTTAGCATAGATAATTCAGTTCTGTAAGAAATTTGTACTATAAATCAACACAAGAAGTAACACTTCACACAGAAGTATACAATGTGCTCAATTTTTGGCAACAGATTCAAAAACTGCATTCTATATTTTGGTAAATATCTAGTCTTTAAAAATAACTAATAAAATCAATGACAAAAGCAAAAAGCTAAAGCAAGATGTAAGTAGGTATCAACATGCTGTTTCCTTTATAAATTGTACTGAATATACTTTCTAAATCACCATACACATTTATGTATATGCCTGAAGGTCTGGCTATCCCACTAAATCACATACCTACATAAACCAGCACATTCAAAACAAGAGACATGACCATCTCAATTGTTCACTGCTTTATAAATGAGCAGTTGTAGAACAGGAACCAAAGCTCTTTTGCTGGAGTAAAGAGCACACAACTGCTATTCACTACAATTCTGAAGTAATATACTGTAATGATAGGTAGTAATCAAGCACCTATACCATGTCTGAGCATGGGGACACCCTCCCTTTTTCTGCAGGAGAAATTAATCTCCTCATCAGCAGATTATATTCCCTTCTAAAGTGTCCCAGGACTAGCTGCTTCAAGCCAAGTCCTGTCAAGGTTTTTTTCACATTAAGCAAGCACTAACTTTCTGCTTCGGGTAGTTCACAAAAAGCAAAGCTACAGTCCTCAATTTCATTGCAAACACCAATGTTACTACTGGGAATATTTATTAAACCCCCTAATTCTTTTCCTTAGATGAACAGATGGCCACCGATGATGCTTCTGCAGTCAAAGTAGCAATGCAGTTCTCTACAAAATGTAGGAGATGGTTAGAAAAATCATTTTGGCTAGAAACTAAATCCAAACCTATTTTTTTGTCAACTTTTAGGACAGCATGATTCTGAGTTTTTTATACATTGTAGGTTCTAGTTTTTTTATCTGGTTACCAGACTATTTGAGTAGCAAGTCTGTCTGATATATTCCAATGATCCCGTGTTTTTATTGTTGAAGCTGAATGTATAGTCTGTATTACTTTCTGGTGCTCTTTCAGTTTTTTATTTTACAAAGAATGTTTATGACTTCAGCCACGACCTTAGCTGAAAAAAAACCCCTACTAATTCCAAACTAGGTGTGAAACAAGAAGATGAAACACATGGAAATCAAATGTTTTAATAAAACTGAAGACGACACTTTAAATTTAAAGTTCAGTTATTTAAACAAAGGGCCTGAATCCTCTTCAGCCTTTAGTTTGGCAAAAAATATAAACACTCTGAGAAAACAATACCTTGGCAATGCTCTATGCAACTGCTCAGTTATCTGGTGGTGTAAAATCGAAATCTTTTTTTGAAATATATATTAATTTTTCAATGTCTTGTTGAGAGTTTTTTTTTTTTTAGATTTATTTTTCCTTTCACATTTTCTTTTAAAGAAAAGCAGAAGTAAACCTTTAATCAAACCCTTGCGAAAAGTCCTTCTCCAGCTTTAACACTGAAAAGATGTGGGACTGTTTCCTACCTTTGTTGTGGAAAACCATCATTTTTAATATCACTAGCTTCAAGATCATTCTTGACACCAGTTATACAGGGTGCTGAAGGATTTTCAGCTCCCACTAATGTAGACATTCAGGAACTTGTAGGACAGATTCTTAATGTTAACTGAAGAAAGTCAATATTTTAAAAATGTCATCATGACATCAGAAATTTGCATTTTAGTAATTTAGAATATTAAATTTTTTAAGACATATTATTATGTTTTGCAGGTTGGATGTTACATTCGTAACAATATGACAGCTTAGACTCTAAATCTAAATCTTATGATTGCTAAATCTGCCTTCTAGTCCAGGTGAGCCAGAAAACAGCAAGTTTACAAATTACACAACTAAAAATGCAATCCAAAAGAAATACATGATGAAAACATCTAGTCTACACAAAACTAATTTTAACTCAAATACACAAGGCACAGGTATATAGATGATCAATCCAAACATTTCTCAAAGAACAGCTTCTTCCTATCTTGGAAATGACACACAAGGATTAAAGCTGATTTCCTCATTTAAGTTTAGTAATTAAAGACAAAAGATATGAATTCAAGTGCTTGCTATTTCAAAGAAAGACTTTATTTCCAGACAGAAAATATAACACTTCTCTAATACCTACAGAAGCACTCTTTACATCAAGAAGTACTAATCAACTTCTAAGGCAAACATACAAACGATGAAACTTCTTATTGTCTATGAGCAGAGACAGAAGTGCAGACAAGTAACTATAATATGCATTTACCATTCTATTAATAAATTCTAAAGGGAGTGTGAGCAGCCCTGAGATTTGGCAAGTTGTCAACAAAAAAAGCTAGGGCTCCTGGTATACAGGAAACAGTGGGACAGTAAAGCAATTTAATAATTTAGCAATTATGTAGCAATCATTCATCAATAATTAATCAAAGACCTATCATTTAGAAAAAAAAAATATCCAGTAATTGAAGAACCTTCTTTGCCACAATGCCAATGTCCTGAGCCAATAAAATTCACCCCTGATAAAAGTATGGTTTGCAGGTCATCATTGTAGTCATAAGTTTTCAACCTTCTGTATATAAAGTCAGAAATAAAACTGCAAAGATAAAGTTTTTCCCACTCAATATTCCTGCATTTTTCTGCTGCTACAGCAGCAAAACCACCTCACTTTTATAATTTCTATTCTACACATTAAGTAAATCAGAAGACTGAACATTTAGATGACCATATATTCTTCCAAAGTTAAATAATTCAGTGGATAAAATCAGGGCTGGGTTGTGGGTTTATTTGTTGGTTGGGTCTTTTTCTCCAATTAACACTGATCTCTTAACACCTAAACAAGAGATTTTTTTCTAAAAAGAAGATTATTACTTCATGTTTATGTCTTTTATTTCTAAAAGACAAATTACAGTAGGCAGATTATGGTAATACAAGTCGATTTTCATTTTATTGCCTGTTCCTTAAGGTAAACTTATAGTATAAAAAGTAAGTAAAGTCTTAATTCCTCTGATCAGTAGTATAAGAGAAACTGAGCTTTGAGAATACATGCTAAAATGTAAACCATGGTATTCCCTATTAAGTCCAAATGACTCAACATGTCATACATATTGTGGTACAATATCAAAGACTCTCTTACATTCAACATTGGCATTTTGCTGGGGAATGGCCTTAAGAAGACACAGACTGGGTTTTCAACAAAACTGAAGAACATGTAGAACAATTAATTCATTTAAAATAGAACTGCAAAAATCCTCACAAACTTGCACACCACTCTAGGGAAAATGCTGTAATGAAACAACCCATGCCTAGCTGAATAAACAACTATGTAAAGTAACATCAGATGTCAAAAGAGAACCCAAACAAGAAACCTGCAAGAAAAGGACAAAGCATATATTAGCAAAAAAACCCCAAAAAACAATAAGAACAACAAATTCCAGTTATGAAATTTGAAAGTACTGGTCAGCAAACACAACACAAATCAAAGATACAAGAGAATATAAAGTTGTGCTAGTTTGGGAGATGTTCAATGTTAAAAATAAATTATGGTGTTTGCTTTAGTATGGTCAGAATATTAAATTTTATCTCTCCTCCTTACTGAAACCTGTGAACTCTTTGCTCACATATTGCCTACCAGAACTTCTGATGCTGAAGACTTCACAGGTTTGCAAAACAGTAAAACAGTATTTTTTGCATCATAAACATAAGCATTTCTCTTCAGTTTATAGTTAATGATTTAGTTTTATTAGGCCTTAAAGCCAGCTAAGTATCCAGTAAAAACAATTTATTTGTACTGACTTTGACTTTCATAGCATGCATATGCACAAGAAACAGCTACAAGAACAAATAATCAAGATAGTTGTGCAGTTTCCCCTACAATGGCCTGACAATCAGTTCCAAGTAGGGTCAGAATGCCCTACTAGTTCTATATCATCAGCTATGCTGTCATTGCTCTGCTTATTGTTGTATCAATAAAAGATAAAAGCTGCAAATACGAGTTTTGGGAAGCATTATATTGTGAACAGTAATAACTTTAGTGAAACCAAGTAACCCTTCACTTGGGCCATGAAACATCAGGAAAAATGCATTTAATTCCCCAAAATACCAGATACTTTCAGACTTCTTAGCTGTTATTTTTGTTTTAAAATGAATGACAGTGAAATCAAATGAAGAATACTTCATAAGCCTTATTTTAATTATACCCTACTAACATAAATAAATTGCAATACTTGCTGCTACAGTTTTTTGGAAAGTCAAGACTACTGATTCAACTGACCTCAGCACCTACCCAACTGCAGACCCACCGAAAGTGCAAACTGAACTTTGATAATAGAAGCTTTCTGTGAACTCAGGGGCTGTACTTTCCTCCTTTGGACTTATTTAACTAGTCTCACACAAATATTAATTCATCCAGATATGACTGACCAGTATGGGAGGGATATTACAGTAAAGTTTATTCTTCTGTTATTTCTGGTACGCAGTATATTGTTCATTGCTTTTATCCTTCCTTAGTTGTCACTTACTAAGATTCTAAAGAAGTGGCTCTGACAAACAGAAACATTGCAGCAACAAACTGCAGAGGAACACTCACTCAAATGCTTATCATACTATTAAACTAAGTATTATTTACTCATGACTCCAAAGATCTTCCAAACAACTTTTCTGGGAATTTATCAACCAGTAGCGATTTCTACAGTACATTTGTAGCTCAGCCGAACAGTCATGTTAATATAGCTTCCAATTAAAAATTAATTCAGTGTTCAAGTAGATTATATTACCTAATCCAAAAGGTCACTGATGCCCAAAGTGCTGATCCCAATCTCTCTTCTTTCTTTTTCCTGTAGCAATCCAGTCTATACTTTTCAGAAAGGATAAATCCACTTTCTAACTATTCCTGGATATTACTGATATCCCTAGATTTGGCAAATATTTACTGTTTTAAATCCACCTTATTATTACCCCATGAAATAAAACATCTGCTAATGACACAATATGAACAAATATTTTATATATAGTTAATGTACACTCATTTTTGTGTAGTGCCACTGTATATCTCTGCCACTGCTTTTTTTCACTCATACAACAAGTATTTAGGAAGATATTGTGGGGCTGGACTCAATCTCCAGAGGTCCCTTCCAACCGCTAACATTCTGTGACTCTGTGTTACTTATTTTTGTACTTCTCTTCCTTCCCTAATTCTAGGGAGAAAACCCTTCTCCTTCCCACCCTTTGGTATTCTTGAATCATTCCTGTAGCTGAGAAGAACTAAAGATCTAAGTGAAGAAAAAGAGATATTGAAGGGGTTTTTACACCAACTAATTTGGGGGAGGGGGGGGGGAAGTAGAGAGAGAAGGCTTCTGGGCAGATTCTTCCAACCCTGAAGCATAAGCAACAAACTTCTTCAAGGTAGGAACAGGCCAACAACATTCTCTTCAAGGAAGACTATTTGAATGCTACAGGCCTTCATTCCTTCCCTATCAACTTTGTCAAGTACCAATTATTAACCTCTTCTCTCCCACCACATAAATGACTAACAAAATTAAGCTAAACAAGATACAATTCCTGTTTTACTTCTCTATACTTCAGCAGCAAAAAAAAAGATTTTTAAATTTCCTAACACATTCTGGTCAACTTTTTCTTCTTCAAGTCTGACATGCTGTTAATTGTTCCAGAAAAACTGCTTTATGAAGCCAGGCTGAACAGTAACTATACAGATTAACGACAAAAAGTAATTTTAGGAGATTCTTCTGTGCACATTTAGACAGCTTCCACTGATAGAAGTTACAGCAAGATTCTCTGAATAGAAAAACATGCAAATAATTGTGGGTTTTTAACAGGCTTGAGGACAAGGAACTGTAGTAAATTGGCTTTGCCACAGAAAATATACGCAAACACACTTTCAGAGCTGTTATTCCTAGCTTGATGTTTGATGCCTCTAGCTCAAAATCAAAGATGACTTGTGTAGAAGATCTGGTCTTTTTTTTTAAAATCCTAGTTAAATAATATTTCTTTAAATAAATCTGTTAGCTCTCCTTACAAGTATTTTCTTGCTCTGAGAACTACATAACCCTTTGAAGAGAATTAAGCACAACCTCTGCAATAAACCATTTTTCAAAGGCCCTACTGTATACTATCTGACTGCAAAAGATGGTAGGAAACCTTCAGATGGGGACATCAGTGGGGAAGTTCTGTATGATTTTGCCACTACCATTCTTTGCTGTGAATGTCTCTAACTTGCATGCAGTTATTTCTTTTTACCATATTGAAGTATGAGTTAGAGTCCCCTTAATATTGAGGTTTCTTGCCTTTAGGTTGTTTTAAAGATGCTGGCACTATTTCTGAACTAGCTCCAGAAAGAATGTTTCATATTGAAACTGTGTATCAGAGGGTTACATTCTATATACAAATAAAAGGCGTGTTTTAGCATCTGTAAGTAACTAAGTAATACTTTGTAAAATTAATTTTAGTGAATTTCTGCCTATGTTACTTTTTAATTGCAACTTTACTTGTATGAATATTCTTTAAGTAATACTTGCCTCCAGAAGATAAGGCAACATTTGGTCCAGAGTTTTTCCTAGATGCTTATCTGGATATAAACCTGGGGAAAAAAAAAGTGTAAAAAATATTTTTTATAAAATACTGTTAGGACATCAAGAAATGCCTTTTTTTTTTTTTTTTTTTTTTTTAAATATAGCATGTCTCCCTTAGAAACTACTCCCACCGTATCCAAAATCATTTATATCCTAAGGAAAACACACTTTGTCAGAATTTTCTCATATTCTATCTGGGCAAATGGTTTCCATGTTTGTGGAAAAATAAGGCAAATTACCTTTTCACTGTGTATCAACTGGAAAAGCTTTTGTTTTCCTTTCTTAGAAATTTCACTAACCAAGTAACAACTCAACATGTGGGTCCACAGTAATAAAAATACTAAATACAAAATAAAAATACTAAATAGATATTACTTCCTTGAATTAGAAGTGACCATTGTAGGTATCTAGTAAATTAAAACACAAGTTAATTTTTTTAGGAATAAATCAAATAATCGGCAGAAATCAGTACTGGAATAAAAAACATCTAGGAACAATTGTTTCAAAATTATGGGCAACCTCGGGTCTCTGTTTGTACCACCTGTTGTGGGCCGAGTCATGTCGTTTGTGGGATCATTGGGGGTGGCGTCAATCGTGTACGAGCTTGTTGACCTGTTTGTACCCCCAGCAGTCATTCATATCATAACGTTTTTGTTTACAATACAGTCTGCATCTGGTTCATCTCCCTGCTGATGTTATTATTCTTGTTGGGCCTGGTCATTGGCAAAACATACCCAAAGTAAATAAGAAAAAAACCCAAAATTATGGCTTCTGAAAGTGAAGGAACACTGGAAAAATTTGCCTGATTGATTGCATTCTTTACTACTCTTAGTTACTGTGGTTTAGGTTTTTTTGTACTGATCACAATACTCTACTGCTTTATGCAACGATGGGTATCAATACAGAGGTGCCACCAGAATTACTCCGTTTAGAAACAATTTCTAAAGTATGCACCTTGCAAAGCAGTTTTAAATCATTTATGATGAGAGCTGCTATATATATGTATGGTATAGTATTATGTAAAGTCCTTGCTGAGTTCAAATAGCTGATATGCCTTTTAATTTTTACAATGATGGTCTTGATGTATTTAAATTCCTGTTAAACTAAAACAAGTGAAAGTGAACGAGATCTCAAAACAATAATAAAGTTTTTAAATATTTCATTAAAGCACATTAAAAATTCCCTGTCTAGGGGAACGCTTTAAAAACTGCTTAATAATTAAAGTGAAAGAGGACTGAGGTTTCTTCCACCCTCTGTTCCTTTTTGATATTGCTTTATTGCTCTTTATTAACAGACCAAAACTGTGTGTTATTAGTTATAAGATAATGATAATTTATGCTTGTGGAAATCATTTTGAAATATCTTCATTTCATTTCAATCATTCGAAAAATTCTGGTGATGTCTTCCAACTTACACCAGCTTAGCATTATGTCCTTGATTTTAATGGCATTCTTGTTAGGCTAAACAAACATTTTCTCTTAAAATAAGCACATAATAATGAGTACCACATTGTAGTACTCATTTTACATATTTACATTAACATTATTCATTAATATAATTACTTTTCTAAGAAAAGCAACTCCCCTCCTTGATAAAAACAGAGTGGTTTCCTTTAAATTTACCAAAGAGGTTTAATTTAATTTAAATTAGGAACAGGTGAGAAGAGAAAAAAGCTATCAGACCAGAACTAGACATTATGTATCTACACCTACTCTGCCCCTAATGAACACAAAACAAGAATTTAAAAGAAACTATTATACAAATAGTATATAAAATACTAATAAATTGCATGTGTATAGACTATGGGGTAAATTCTTTAGTAATGTCCCACACCTACATAAAAATCTGTGAAACTGCAATGTACCCTTTCAGTTCTCAGTAGAATTCTATTTTTTGATAGCTTGCCTTTCTTCTGAAAAACATTTCCTTTAGTTTCCAATAGGTTTGTATTGTGAGTGAACAGAGACTCAAGGCTTCAAGAACAAATATAACCTGCAATATGCAGAACAAGTAATCCATATCTCAAATCTCTAATGGTATGCATGTCTATAAACATGCTTACAAAACAGTTAACATAAATCTCGACTTCTATTTGGTATGTTTTCCTTTAAACAAAGGAATAGATTGATTCAGATTCTTAAAATTACTTAGACTAGAACCAAAAACAGCCTCTTGTAAATTCTTAGTACGTTCCATATCCTTCAGATTTTTCCTCCATAAAACTAGATGTGAAGAAAGCCGGATGGGTGGATAAACCAACAACAAGGTCCAGGACCTGAACGGCTGTATGTAGAATTAAGAAATTAATTAGGAAGGGAACTATACTTTGCAGCACTGACATCTATTTTACTTAACTTGCATGTATCAATGGGAAGTAATTACAATTCAATTAAAACATTCATTTTTATTACTTTACTGAATGACCTTGAAGTTAATGCCTGTTTTATTTAATTCCATCATCTATGAATAAATGTTAACCCTAGAATGTTATGCCCCATTATTTTCAATGCATTTTTAACTCCCTAACTGAACTACATCAGTCAATTTATTATGTGCTATCAGGAGAGCAAGTAACACTTTATTTCTTTGAGATAGACCCATACATGACAACAGAAACATCTCAAAAGATTTGATAATACTGTTTTTAACAGTGCTCAGTCAAACAAATTGTGTTCTCATCTCCAGTTTTGTGGCCTAGTTTTACTGTAAAATCAGTATGTGACAGCACAAATGGTATAATCACTTCAAATTAATTTCTACTTCATCTGTAATTCCTGATCAACCCACTGACAGGAGCAGAACTCCTTCCTGTAGATATCAACAATGGCTGCAGAGCCCTCTTAGGCACAGCCAAAAGCCAAGTGCCGTAGAGAACAGCAACAGTGTCAAAAGACTGGGCCAGAAATTCAGGGCTTTGTTCTGTTATGAAAAAGAGAAATGTACCAAAGAATATTATTGAAAGGCATTTCACTCATTTTAAGTTACACAAAAGAATCATATTTTAAATGGTTCACTTTGTACGCATGTATTTGTGTAGCATAAAGCCCTCACCTAAGGGGTAACCACTTGATATTAATTGCATTTATCAAGACCATCAGAAAATGAAGTTCCATTTTCAAAGCATTATTTTCAGCTAATAAAATCCAAGACTCCATACAGTAAATGGTTCAGGTCATTGAAAATACTGCTCCAGCCAACTTGGTCTCAGGGCTTTCAAGGAACTTCAGAAACTTAATCCAAAAGTTACCACAGATTCCGTCTGTAGAGCCACATAGGTATGACTTTCCCAATATAATCTGTTTACAATGTTTTTAAATTCAGCATACTGAAATGTTTTGGGTAACTCTAGAGCATTTTTTTAATTAATTATTTAATTCAATCATTCCAGCATCATAGTTTGGATGATAAAAAAGGATGTGCTGTTTTGTTCTTGTTTAAGAATTCTGGTATTTCCATGCTCTGAACAGTTCTAGCGCTATTAAGCTTTGAAGAAAAGGATGGAAGTTTGATTCAGTGGCACAGAAAGAGCCACGGTACAGGTGGTAAACTTTGTGGCACTTTCATTAAATTCAACCCCACCTAGACAAATTATAAATCTTTAAAAAGTCACAATCCCCAAATGGATCAACAGAGACTTCTGAAAGAAGAAATCAGTAGATCACCTGCAAAAGGGTAAAGGACAGAGCAAAAATAAAGGATCAGATTAGGACAAGAAGCCTCATAAAACTTCAACTCAGAGAAACCTGGAAAGCAAGCATCTATGTTTCTAACTACACAGAATACTTTAAAGGTTTGAGTTAATGTTTTGTTTCAGCACATAAGTCTGCGCAGTGAATGTGTATCCAGGACTTAAATTTTACCAAGCATTAAAGAGGAGCAAGTAATACTCTAGTGCTAACAAGTCACTACTTTTCCCTCTTGATTTTCATTCTGTTAGGATTATTTCTGCTTTTGACATCTCTTATTAAGCTAATTTTCTTCCACTGTTTTTCAGCTCAGTGTTCTCTGACTCTTCTGTCTCCTTCACTAGAACTCTTACTTCCTTTTCTTTTTCACTTTAAATACCTCAAAGTCCATTCTTAGCCTGGTACTTTCAGTTCACTTTTTCTTTACATGACCTGACCTCACCAAACTGTGAAGCAATCTTTCCACTCTTAGGCCATCTATCAGCAATTTTGTCTGTTTCTGGCATCTCCTTAAGAACCACTGCACTCAACAATGTCAACTTTCAACTACTTTTCTGTTTTCAGGCACATTCACTTTCCCACTCTTCATTTCAATTCCTGTCATCTGTTACTACCAAAATTATTGACATCCTTCCCAATCTCCAGTCCATAGGATCAAGAGATTGCAAAAAGGGAATCATATTTCTTTCTAACCCGTTTCTAGAATCACCTATGCAAACTGTCACAAATTCTCATTTCTTCTTTTTCTGTAACACACTTTATTTTCAAACATTTCTTTATAACCATGCACTAAAAGCTCTTTCCAAAACTTCATCTGATATACTGGTAAAAAATTAACTGTCATTCATATACAGGCATCAAGGCACATAACATTGGAAATGCAAAGATTACTTTTTAAATCTTATCTCTAATAATTTAGCTATGCTCTGAAGCAAAACTCCTTCTTCATTTAAAGTCCATTCCTAGTTATCTTTTCTCTTACTTATCTCTTTTGCACCATATTTTTCTTAAATTCAAAGCTGATTTTGATTAGCTGGTCTTGCACACAGTTCCCATTTTTCCATGTACACCTTTTCCCATGTGAATCCTTCCCCTCAGGAAAAAAAAAAAAAAAAGAAAAGGCCTGAGCTAAAATGGCTCCTTTAGTTTCATAATTGTTCCACATCTTTTCATACGAACAAACAGGTGTGGTACCTTTCCTTTTATCATAAATAACATGAATGATGTAGATAAATGAGGTAGTAGACATCCGTATTAGGGAACAAACCTAAGGCAAAAGTGTCAAATACACTTAAGGTCTAAGGGATCAACTAAGCTTTGGA